CAGAACAGGTCAGCTGGCTGTGTGGTATACAGGAGAACAGGTCAGCTGGCTGTGTGGTATACAGGAGAACAGGTCAGCTGGCTGTGTGGTATACAGAACAGGTCAGCTGGCTGTGTGGTATACAGGAGAACAGGTCAGCTGGCGGTGTGGTATACAGGACAGGTCAACTGGCTGTGTGGTATACAGGAGAACAGGTCAGCTGGCTGTGTGGTATACAGGAGAACAGGTCAGCTGGCTGTGTGGTATACAGAACAGGTCAGCTGGCTGTGTGGTATATAGGAGAACAGGTCAGCTGGCTGTGTGGCATACAGGAGAACAGGTCAGCTGGCTGTGTGGCATACAGGAGAACAGGTCAGCTGGCTGTGTGGTATACAGGAGAACAGGTCAGGTGGCTGTGTGGTATACAGAAGAAAGGTCAGCTGGCTGTGTGGTATACAGGAGAACAGGTCAGCTTGCTGTGTGGTATACAGGAGAACAGGTCACACAGGTGCATGACAAATCTGTGGTAAAAATCCTGCTACAGGCTAACTGTACTTAGGAAATATGCACTCTAGTAAATAGCAGAAAACCTAATAGTCAATACCGTAAATTGGGGCAACTTGGACAATTTTAATATTTATTTTAAAAAATGCATTATTTAATAAATTCTTGCCTTATAAAAATTGTGTTGATGTCTCTTGAAGTACCATGAGAAACAATGCAATAAAGAGATATATTTTGTATACCTATTTACAATGTGACTATTTGTATACCAAAAAAGTAGGTAAGAGTTAAACAGGGTCTAAGTCACCTAATTTTATGGTAAACAATAACAAAAAACATACATGGTATTGAAAGCAACGCAGTAAACATCAGGGGAGAATATCTGCTTAAATAAATAAGTACTAAACCTTGTATAAGAGACATGAACAAAATCAAGAAAGAGTAGGAATAACTAGGAAGAAATATACCTATCAGTCTCAGGCATAATGAACTACTATAGCAAGTTTCAACTCTAATCAGTAAAGAAATAATTCAGTTTGAGCATATCTAGGCAGATGCAATCATATACACAACTCAACAGCAACCTGTCCCAATAACAATAATTGATAATAACAATTGAGTTGTGATAATAATAATAACAAAACAATAACAATAATTGATAATAACAATAATAACTGACACTCAGATGGCAAGGCATTAGGATTGAGGCCAGAATAGCACAAATTTGTAAGATTTATTGGCAGCAAACTGGTTAGTGTCTGATTCTGACAAATATTCTAATATGAACAAAAATATTTCAATGTCAAGACAGTTAGATGTAATGTATTGGAGGTGTGAAAGCCTCAGGTTTAATAGGCCATAAAATAAAAAAAAATTTAAAACGGTCATAGACAAAGAATGAGTCATCATGGATGCCCACTTCAGGGCTCAATTCTTTTATTGGTGTTTTACCTAAAATTTATTTGTGTCTTTCAGAAACCTGGCTTTATAACAAAAATTCATGGCAAATTTAAAATAGCTAACTATTTAAGTTTTAATAAGCATTAAAAAAATATTTAACACTATTTTATGATTGTTACTCATCATAATTGCTTAACAACTTGAATATTTTTGAAACAGCTTTAGAGAGAAAAAGTAATGATTAAAGGGCTGAGGTATGAATAAAAGAGATATGAATGAGTGTGGAAAACTGCAAAACAAACTTTAGAAATGAAGTAAATGACAACCTGAGTGAGCAGACAGGATGGACATGGGCACTGATGATCTTAGCGATGCCCCGTGTAAGGAAGTCCCAGATGACAATGCGTCCGTCATTGCAGCCGACGGCCAGCAGAGCGCCTTGTCTGTTGAAGGCGCACGTCACAGCCAACGAGACACAGTCAAGAGTCCCGTCAAACTCCTCAGGGTAGTTCTGACCAAACGTCTCTGCCAAAGAGAGCAGAGAATAACTGGCAAATTTATAAAGAATCAGTGAGCAATGGAATTATTACCTTCAAACCTGGTAATAAGGGACGGTTTTGAGCGTTTTTCCTTAATAACTTCTTACCATGAAACATTTCATAAACAAGTTTAGGCTCATTTTAAAGGTATTTGCAAGGGCTATCATATGGCGTCTCTGAAAAAATTCCATATGTTATTTGTAAGGTGCCAGATGCAAAATAAAAGCCTCCTGAACCAACCCTGTGAACGGGGTAATAAGGGGCACTTGAAATAAAACTAAATTTTAAAATGTTTGAAACATGCAGAGTGAGCTCATCTATTACTAACAATAGGTACTCTGAAGTTTTCCTCTTCCTTTGTAGATGATGTAAATGTAGAATAAATGACATTTTCTGTGAATTTTACTTGCTCTTCCTTTATTGATATGATATCACCTTATCCATACATTACCATATTATTGATGTGATATTACCTAATCCATGGACATGTCATTGAGCATTAACAACCTTGTCCACTGCAAGCTTCATATCAGCAGCCATGCAGCATTTCTTCTGTAACTGTAAGCTTACAGAACGGCTTGTAATTTTGCACCATTTCAATTGAGTCAAGTGGATTCAACATAACAAAAAAGATTGTAAAAAAACATACCTGAAACACAAAGGAATATTTTAGCAACAACTATCATATTATCTGAGAAAAAAATCATAGCTTAGGTTAATTTATTTCCATTCTATGTTGCCAAGTGAACAATTCTAGCTATGACATCCTATGCACAGTTTGGCAATGACCGATGATGAACATTTTTTTTGTCAAGTGAAATTTATTGCTGAGCAGGGTAAATCTAATCAGAATTTTTTATTGCTAGTAATTGATTTTTTTGTGAACCGGAGCCTTTGCTAACCAAAGCTCTACTGTGAATGTGTTTTTATGGGTGTCCCATATTACCCCATTGTGCAGAAATGGCTGCCATTTTTTTCTGGAATGAGATTCACTAATTCCATCACTCACATTTTTAAGCCAACACCCGAGTGCAACTTTTATGTAAGTAAAAAGTAAAAATTTTTAATACGGTAAATATTTTTTTTGCTACAGATTTTTTTTTGCTAAGTAATATTTCAATAATTACTCAGCATCATATATCTGATTACTCTTGCACCAAGATTGTAAAACTTGATCTTAAACATTAAAGAAATTACTTCAAGAATTATATTAAGTTATCCTGACACCAGCCTTAGCATGTTAACACATTAATCTAACCTGCTCTATTAGCAAAAATTTAAAGAACTAATATTTCAAACTTCAAAGTAGGCAATTCAATAGAATTTAATGTTTTTGTCAATAATTTGGTTTTGATCTTGAGCCAGACATAAGAAATAAACTCAAAATGAATTTAAGAATAAAAAAACTAAGTAAAGATATTTTAAACAATACCCTCAAACGAGTAATAAGGGACAGGTGGGGTAATAAGGGACAGTCCTCCGACATTTTGTAAAATGTTGCAGCAGCTAAACTAATTTTACAGCAGCTAAACCAATCATTTTTTACTAGCTACTAAACCATAAATAGTGACATAAAGTTCAACATGTTTCCTATCTAGGAAAATATGTTAAGAAATCATAGGAAAAGTTAAGATATCATACTTATACTACGGTACCTCTAAAAAATCCCTGAAAGAAGTGTGAAAAGTGAGATTTTGAAAAAGTACCTCTGCTAAGGTCTGTAGCAAAAAAAATATTTGCCATTTTAAAAAATTGTACTTACATAAAAGTTGCACACAAGTGTTGGCTTAAAAATGTAATTGACAGAATTTGTGTAGCTCCTTCAAAAAAAAATTGTGCCATTTCTGCATGACGGGGTAATAAGGGACACCTCTAAGAATGCATTTACAGTAGAACCATGGTTAGCAAAGGCTCCAGTTAACAAAAAATCAAATAACAACAAATAATTTTGATTACATTTAACTTGCTCAGCAAAAAAAATTGCAATTTAAAAATATTAATGAATCATCGGTCATTACAAAATTGTGCTTAGAATGTCATAGATAGAATTGTGCACCAGGCAACATAGAATAAAAAGTAATTAATCTAAACTATTATTTTTTTCTCCAAAAATATGATGGTTGTCACTAAAATATTCCTTTCTGTTTCAGGTATGTTTTTACAATCTTTTTTTGTTATAGTGGATTCACTTGACTCAATGAAATGGTGCAAAATTACAAGCCGTCCTGTAAGCTTAGCTACAGAAGAAATGCTACATGGCTGCTGATGTGAAGCTTGCAGTGGACAAGGTTGCTTTAAATGCTCAATGGCATGTCCATGGATAAGAAAAAATATCATATCAATAAAAGAAAAACCAGTAAAATTCACAGAAAATGTCATTTATTCTACATCTACACAATCTACAAAGGAATCGTTTATGAAATGTTTCATGGTAAGAAGTTATTCAAGGAAAAACACTCAAAACTGTCCCTTATTACTGTCCCTTATTACTTTGATTCCCGGGGTAAGTTTGACAACTTTTAGTTTTTTTTTAACAAAAATCCCCAAAACTCAAAAACTATTTGACATAGAAAAATTTTGTCAATGGGCATTAAAGGCCTAATACTGAGGCTACGTAACACAATAGAAAGATTTAAAAAGTTTGCATATCTAATAGGTTAAAAAATGAAAAAATGTGACCCATGAAAAAGAGCTATTGTTTATAGCCTGTCGTAGAACTCCCTCCAATTTTTTTATTTATAACTCCAGGTTTTGGTGCATTGTAGTAGAACTCTTCTAGTTACATATGCAAATGACAAATTCAAGGGAAGTGTCATAGTTTGCAAATGGGGGGGGGGCTTCACCCCCCAATGGGGGAACTCTGACCACCTAATGGCAGCCATGACGGGGTAACATAGACCAGCTTGGAAGTTAATATAAAATTACCATATTTAACATATTTTATGTTTGATAGGTACACCTATTAATGTTTTTTTTTATGTTTCAGACTCTACAGAGTCTCATATATGGTAATTTTAACTTAATTTCCAAGCCGGTCAATATTACCCTATCACAGCTGACATTAGGTGGTCACAGATCCCCCATTGGGGGGCAGCACCCCCCATTTGCAAACTATAACACTTCCCTCAAATTTGTCATTTGCATATGTAACTAGAAGAGTTCTACTACAATGCACCAAAACCTGGAGTTATTTACCAAAAATATAATTGATATTACCACCCAGTCAGATATACCCCAAAGTGGGGGGCAACAAAGACCATGACTTTTTTTAAAATTACATCAAAACTATGAGAGGCAGGAGCCAGCAATTTATGGTGAGTGAACCTAGAGTATAGACCTGAATTTTGCATGTTTCAATTTAAGTTTAATTTAACTAGTAAAATTATGGCATCGTTTAAAACAAAAATAGTCAAAGTAACCTCTTTTACAGTACCTTGTTTGATGGCATGTTCAAAAATGAAAATTATTTATGACCATTTGCACAGAAAAAACCAAGCAGAGCAACCACTAACAGTCAACTAAAAAAAGGAGGATACAACAGCATTTTGATCATCATTCATGCATAAATGCTAATTGCTCAAGTCATGAAAAGCTGTGAAACAAATGAACTTACCTAAAAGCTCAATGTTCATTTTTCTTTATATGCTTCTACTTAGTAGAGCCACAAGAGATGATCTAAGATTGCATCAATTTTAACAGATAAGGAAAATTTTTTATAATAGGTACAGTAGGTACCTCTAAGTTTGATCTGGAAAAAGAAGGAGGTATGTCAAGAAGTGAGTTAGTAATAGTTCCAAAATAATGAGCTTTTTGGAAAAACCTTGTATTGGCATTAGAAAGTGCAATATTGCCAGGGTGCAGGGCTGGAAAAGTCCTATCTTTTTCTGAAATATTGCAGCTCTAATATCGCATAATTTCAGTAGGCATGAAATCTCGCGGCTCTAATGTCATGCATTTTTGTTTGATTGAAAAAAATCGCTGTTTGCACTCTGCAAATATGTCATTTCATAAAATTTCCAACTTCCGCAATCCGCACTATTTCAACAATCCCGCCAAAATATCCTGCACAACAAAACAAGTCAACCTAAAATGTTTCCTTATAGATTGCGTAAGTGCGGTCAGTCAGCATTATCACGTGATCTGTGATCAGTTGACACTCGAGCAAAGACAAATATTAGAGTTGACTGTTTTTAGGGTTAAATTAGATATTAGGGGTAACACGTGCATGGGACTTAGTAAAAAGTCCGCAGCTGCCGGCTCGTAAATGGCTTTTAATGGCTGAGATATGGAATTCACGGCTCGAAGAAATGAAATCACAGCTCAAATAAATGGAATCATGGCTGGCAAATCCATAAAACCACAGCTCCAAAAATTCAGTCGTGGCTCACCAAGTGGTAGATATATTCCATGCCCCAGGGTGCAGAAGGTAGTTGTGAATATCTAAAGATCTTTGGCAACGCTGACACATCAAGTCATCAACAGCAAAATTTATGCCTTCAGAAGATCTTGCCGACCCATTTGGATTGAAATTGTTGCATTTTTAGAAATTAGTATTGCAATTGCTGCAAATCTGAAATTCTGAAACCCCACAAGCACACACAGTAAGATTTCCTGTACGTTGGGTGGATGATGGATCAGGATGCAGTGAACGTGAAGCTTGTCCAGAAATCAGTTGCAACACTTGCAAGGACTCTGGACTGAGGAGTGTAAACCGTAAACGTTGCAGTGCGTGCAGCGTGGAGGGTAAGGGATATACTACTATCTGACTATCAAAGTTGCTTGCAGGCTGCAGCATTTTCTTATTAAAAATTACCCCGCAGGGCCTGCAGCCCCGCACTGTATTATTATTTATTTAATCTGTATATTGTTATTATTGTTTCAGTTTATCATGTATTGTACAGATAATGATATGACTTAACGTTAACGGCTAACGCACTTAACCCAGTCCCATTATATAAATGATTAATGCCCAGAATTATTTTCTAAAATTTGTTTCTGGTTTACTGTAAGAATCACTTGGGATAGTAAATAGTAATAAATCATATAAATGAAAAATATGTTCAAATATTCATTTTTCATTGTAGGTATGTAAGAAATGTATAGCTTGGTCCCATAATAACTCGCATTTGGAACCGGGCTAAATATTTCATGATCTAAATGACTTAAAATAGTTAAAAACATTATGTCACGTACACACAATAACAACATACTTAACATACCTAGTATATACAGGCAAGTTGAGGCAACTACAGCAATTAAATTACTCACTTTACTGATAAAATTCTGCATCTAACTCATAAATAATATATTGTTATAACAAATTAGCTACTTGTCTTTCTTTGCCATGATAGCTATCAAGCCATCCAGACACCTGGTTCTTATAATCTTTGAATGTTAACTACTTAACTAGTTTTACCTGACATTTTTGGAAAATTGTGCTCAATATTCCTCCTAATCAATTATAGCCTAGGTACACCGTACACGGCTGGTAAACTTAAGAAACGTATTCCATTGTCCAGTTTTCTGTTTAAATAGTCATGAAAAGGACTGGTGTATCTAAAAACGGTCCAGTTGTGTCCCATCTTCAAGCAAAAACTTCAAAAAGTGAATAGCTTAGTAGATTGAACAAGTAGGCGATTAGGCAGAAGCTAGACCATGCAACAAATATGGCGGCCAATCCCACTATGCATCATCATTCATCAATGATCTTGCGATTAAGTGCCGTGGGTCGCCGTGGCGTCATCTTTTTTTCAGTCCTTCAGGCCTTTAGTAAAAACCTAACTTAGAATGGCCCAGCACAGCATCGTCTGCCATTCTTCTTCTTTGCAGGATGTTCACTTGGAGTGGACTTGAAGCCGCAGATCTGCCAGATGCAGATGGATGACCCCGTGACCGTTGGGTCTGAGAGCTTATAGCTTGTGGTTTTCAGCTTCTTTGTATATGAATTTAATTGCTGCCGTCTTGTGAGGTTGGCTGATGTAAGCTCAGTACAGGATTGGGTAGAAGTTTACACTTTACACTACAGGGAACATACATTAGTGAATGAAATGATTTACTGCTAAGTCTGCCATTAAGCGAAAAATTTTGGGATGCATGCCGGAGGCCAGCATAGCCCAAGACCAGCATATCTTTCATCCTCTTTTCCGTGCGTAAGCCTGCTAAAGGGCAGAGTAGACTAAGGGATTACAAGTTAAAAGCCAAAGGTACAAATCCCCTTCATAGAAATTAACCAGCGAGCTAATGAGAAGTAAGCCACCAATACAATTGCTCTACGCCGTATTGAAAACCGTCCAACAGCTCTATCCCATGCCGTCTAACCTCCTCACGATTTTCGGTAAGCAACTCCCTACGCCATACCGCTGTTGATACACAGTCAGCACTCCAGCCCGTCCGTTCGTCGCAGCTGTTTTCCCCCGCCATAACTCTACCTCCTGTCTCTTATACACATCTAGATGTGTATAAGAGACAGCTCGGAGGTTGAGTGTGTGCCGAAGCAATATAAAACTATTGATTTACTTGCAACACGGTGAATTGTGATAGAATTTTGTCAATAATTCAACATAGGCATAATATGTGATCGTGCTAAACGGTGCTTTTTAAGAAAAAATTTTCAATTAAGTTATGCCAGCTAATTTTTTTCTTTTTGTGCTATAATTTGCAAGCAAATCTTGATATTCGTATCTAAGAGTTTTATGATCATTCACTAAAATAATATCTTCATTACTTTTTGATTCAAAATTAAGTGGAGTTTGACAAGCCAACCATTTTTCTAGCTACGTACACAAATTCCTTCCTTTCTCCGCTGATAGTTGAACTCCAACTCACAAAATGTTCTAAATTCTAGGTAGCTCTCTAAAAAGTCCTCAAATTTTGAATGGGAAAAATGTAATTTTTTGCCTTGATTGCAAAAAATTACAATCAAGGCGTTGTCATTGCTATTTAGACAACGTCTCACTCATTTCTCCATATGCTCACTAGTCAGTCAACGCAGACGACGCTGACACAATACAACCTCCTTTCACCCACGCGTACTGAGTCGACAGGAGTCAGGACTCAGGAGCTAGGAATGGCAAATTCGAAGCCTCTGATTGGTCAGTTAGTTGGATGCTTTCAATAATACCTTTTCAGATGAGACTTGCGTAAGACAGTTTTGTAAATGCCAAATTTTGACTGACTTACGCAATACGTAACTTTTTGAACGTAAGTACGAAAAGTTACGTGTACATTGCGAAGTTTCGTTAATCTCTGCCCGTATCTGTACCGTGTGTCGCATCCATGGTTGAACTGTATAAGGTTGACCCACGAGAAGTTCCGTCGTTCAGTTCAGCTTTCTTGTTACGTCACGTAGATCAAGCAACGTAAACAAACCGGACATTCTCATGACGGACTGGTTGACTGGTTTGATCGCATTTCGGTGATTGGTTAATGCCCGTGACGTCACTGAGATCAGTGACGTCACAGGCGAACAACGAACTACATCCGCAAAAATGGGCTTCTGGTGGGTCAACCTTATACTAGTTCAACCATGTGTCGTATCAGCCTACGGTCGAACGGCCACGCGTCGTACGACGATAAATTTTTGAACAGAACTATGCTTTCTGAAACATAACCCCGGATGTTGTGAGCTAAAAGTGACCGTCTGGTGGTGCACGGCAGGATGCATGCAGTTCCAATGGCGACCTGGCTGGTTGGTCGCAGTCCGTTATCCGCAAGTTACAGTTCGAGCTAAAGTCAGGGTATGAAGTGATGATTCGATGCAACGTTCAGTGGTTCATAACCATTACTCTCTGGGCTATTCGCTTCAAAATGTGGTGGCGTAAAGCTCCTAGTATTTAAAGCAAGATGATGTCACGGGCTGGTTACAGACGGATGGCTAAACCGCGGCTGGTTGGTGGTCATCCGGAAATATGCTACTCATTCCTTTCAGGGCTGATTGGTGCACAAATTTGGTGGTGCACGGCTGCGTACCCAATTTCAGCCTGACCCGACTAAATCAACTTGTTCACGTGTGAGATTCACAAATGTTAAAATTCTGTTTTTTCACATGCACATACTTTGCAAAACTATCCATGCTGTTTAAACTATCGCATCCCATACTATTCTGGACAACTCACGTACCGTTCGCATTGCACTATTAATATAACTCGTACTTTATGTGAGAGCCACATTGCCCCAGATGGTGTCTACTTCACAGTACCTGGCGTCTACTGCACTACCTGGCGTCTACTGCACTACCTGGCGTCTACTGCACTACCAGGCGTCTACTGCACTACCTGGCGTCTACTGCACTACCTGGCGTCTACTGCACTACCTGGCGTCTACTGCACTACCTGGCGTCTACTGCACTACCTGGCGTCTACTGTACTACCTGGCGTACAGATAATATTAACAGATAATAAAATAATAATATATAATATTAGTAGATAACGAAATAACGGATAATAATAACAGATAATAAAATAATAATATACAATATTAGTAGATAACGAAATAACAGATAATAATAACAGATAATAAAATAATAATATCTAATATTAGTAGATAACGAAATAACGGATAATAATAACAGATAATGGTGGAGAGATTTTATCCTTATCTTTATCCAAATATTAAATTAAATTAATCATTCGTTGACATGAGTGCGGGGTTCGCATTGCACACAGTCATATCGCAGCGAAGCTTGCACTGGGGAAAGTGAGTTCATTTAACACTTTGTGGTGCAGTTATTGGGCATACTGTGAAGGGCACAC